CTCGCGAGTAGAATATAATCGTGATGCAACGGGAGAGGCGGACATGACCGGACGGAGCCAGGGGAGGAAAAGGGAAAAAGGGGGACCGGGGGGGGGGGCGTATGCCAGGAGCACGGAAGGCATCAGGCCGGGGCGCGTTTAATCGCAAGCTAAGTCTCTGCTCGTATCGCAAAAGACGTCACATAACGACTTGCGAGAGATAACACAAAAGAAGAAAAAGAGGACGACGAAAAGAAGTGAAGAAACACAAAATAAAAAAAAGTTTCGCACAAATGAGTGAGAAACTCGAGGGGGGGGGGGGGGATACCACGTCCAACTTTGGGGTCAAGAAGTGAGAGACATGACGGCGAGTGACCCGGGCGGGCCGCGGTGTGTGGGGGGCGGGGGCGGAGATAGCACATCCAATCCTTTGGCATGGAAATGGGGGTGAGAGGGGGTGAGGGACCGTGAGGGGCGGGAAGGGCGGAAGGGGCGGGAGGGCGCAGAAAAACAAAGCGGTCCTTGGCATTTGACATTCGTGTCCATCGAGGTCGTCCCCGCCCCCTTTTCTCCTCTCCGGGCAGTAGGGGGTTTGGAACTGTGTAACCCCCCTCTCCCCTTTCCCTACTATCCACTCAGAGTCCCACCAGCCCGCCCTAAGTGCAGGGAGCAGAGCCACCGAAGTAGAAGCTGCCGGGGCACCCTCCAGCGAAAAGTGGACCCTTCCACAAGTGGACTCACCCACACCGACAAAAGAACGCAAAAAAGGGGGAAAGACCTCATGCAAGATTGAAACGATGATGTACATTGGGCGGAGGGAAGCGGGGAGGCGCACAGCCAATGACGCCAACTAGACTTCTTAGCGAAAATGCGGAGCAATCGTTACTGAGTGACACCCACTAAAAAATTTAAAAAAGTGTCATAAAAAGACGAGTGTGGAACTTTTGGAGCGCAAAATGAAGAAGGTGCGAGGCGGCCGCACGAATCCCCAAACTCTTCCACCCACAAGCTCTATCGTGCCCACTCAAAGTCCGAAGGATCTAAGGATCGCACTGGTCCCATCTCCTTTTTTTTTTTTTTCAGACACACCACAGTGTTCGTGGCCGATATCTCGTTCCATATCAAATCTCGTGCGGAGCGGCTCGGCGCGTGCTGCGCAGAACACCGTCCCAATAATCTCGCCAATCCCAATCCCTCGGCACGAGTGCTTCACCTCCGGGCCGGTCCCGCTCCCGCCCGCGACCCATCCCGATCCACCCTGATCCAGCCCGCCAGAGCCCGCTGCCGTCCACCGCACCCGCACTGGGCTGGGTACGTCCCCAAGAAGCCTTCGCTTGTACCTGTAAGGACATAGGCGAGGCGACCAAGGAGGATAGGACTAAAGCTCGCGGCCGCGGATCGCACAGCCGGACAGGCAGGGCTGGCGGGCAGCAGGCGCGCCCGCCGGCACGGCTGGCAGGCAGGCCGTGCGGGCCAGCCAGGAAGGAGCGGCACAGATAAGACACAAGATACTTGTTACACGAGTGAGGTCAAATTTTCGAGCGCGCGTGCAAGGCATACAGTCCGAGAGCCTCTCCCGCTCGTCCTCCTCCTGCTGAGCCCGGCTCCGCGCCCGGCTCGGCTGAAACCAGGCCACCACGCCCCGCCACGCCCCGCCACGCCACCCTATGTCAATAAGGACAATCAGGCGCCTCGCGCTGAGAGGACAGAACGCCAGAGAGAGGATGGAACGCCCCAGGAGAAGTGGCCAGGGCGCGGCGGAACGCCCAGCTCAGCCCTCCTACTGGCGGCACGCCCGAGCGAGACTCACGGGGTTGCGGCGCGAACAATACAACGGCACGTCGCACATCCTAGCAGCTGTCACGATCACGCTCCACTCCGCACGCCGTTCGATCAGAGACTCTGGGGTAGCGCGGGGGGACGGACGCCCCCTATGCAGGTCTTACAATGGTGGCGCACAAGGCCCCGGAACACTCTCTCAACAGTATACAACAGACAAAGTACGTTCACTTCTGGGCCAAGCCACACCCAGAGAGATCACCAGCTGGTTGGCAACCATACTGGTTTTTGTCATGATCCAACACCATGCAGTATACGTATACTCCAACCAAGGACCAAGATCAACATCTCACTTCAAGAAAAATGTTATTATTTTAGGAAAAGACCACTCGGTCCAAAGCACTGCTCGCACTTTCAATCAGGCACAAATCTTCTGGTCAGATTTGTGTGAATTTTTCTTGTCTGGAGAAATCGTTTTTCTGGGTGAGCTGAGATCCCCCTCGGACTCGAATGAGTGCATCTACTCCTAGCTCCCTCCAATCGCACCCTCTCCGACATGACCGAACACTCACAGTCACACTCACCGGAGGAAGGGGGAGAGGGATAAAGAGACTTCACCGCGGACCGAGGGGGCAATAACTCCCTTTTGGAGTGTACACATGATTCCCGAAATACTTGATTCCCAGTGATTCCCGGTGATTCGCGCCCGCTTATATTTATTTCTCAGGTTTTCTAGTGGTAAAAAACGCTCATTTCGACTGATTTGTACCAGTTCCGCTAGTTTCCCGCTCAGTTTAAGCGATTTCTGTTGATTTCGATCAATTTTTATCGTGATGATTCCCAGGCAGGTGTACACATGATTCCCGGAGTTCTTGCCCCCTCGCCGCGGACGGGCGGCGCGCTTATCAAGAAAACGAGATAATATGATACGAATAAGCCGGGCGTATCGGAGATTAAAAAAAAAGGGAGTCATTGGCCGAGGGCGGCGGCGGCAGCGCCACTTCCGTACGACGAAAACAATCGGGGGCGGATCCAGCTACCCTCTCCCCCCTCTTTCGTTTTCAATTCCGCGCTCTCTTCTGGTCGCTTGTGCCCGGCTGCTGCTCGCAGAGACCGTGTTTTCTGTCCTGGCGGCGGCCACGGCGAGGTCCTTGGACTATTTTCGGCAGCTCATTTCAGCCCTTTTTCGAAGGGCTGCTGCTGCTGCCAGCTCAATGAACAGCAATGCCACGCCAAGGCTGCCGGCCCCGCGCTGGCCACGTTCAGCGTTACGTAACGCGACGCTCTCTCGCTTCTCCCCCTCGCTCTGAGTGTGTGTGTGTGTGTGTGTGCGCGCGTCGCTCGCGCGCGACGCGCGACGAGTTTCGGCTCGAATTCACTTAATTCGGCCCCAACTCGGCTCGCTTGGTCCCGCCTGACACCACGCCACGCAGCAGCGTACCGCGCGCGCTCCGCCCTCGAAATAGAACTGTACAGCAGAAGCCCGTCCGGGATGCGTGTGCGCGCTGCACGGCCTGCACGGCGGGCGCGGGCGGGCGCGCTCCCGGACCGTCCACCGCGCGGCCGTGTTGCAGATAACACGCGTGTAGCGACGCGTAAATGAATATTTAACACTGTTCGCGCGCGATTTTCACTCACCTGAAAGTACGTAGATGGTTACAGTAACTCTGCATCGATGTTTAGCTCAATGCAAACAAGAGCTCGGCGGGTAGGGCGGTCACGAACCGGGGGGCTAGTGGTGGGGGTGGTTTGGGGTG